ATATTGATGAACGAAGATAAAATAGAAATTCATCTTCATCATGAATATTCGATAATATTGATGGAGAATGATACGATTTTATATCAGTTTCAAACGAAATTCCACGATGTTTTAATAAAACATTTTTTAAAGTATCGAAATTATTTGATTCAATTTCAGAATTAAGAGATAAACGAAGAAATTCATCACATTGAAGACCAAAATAATGTGCCAGAGTTGATACAGTTAGAGGTCGACGTGTTTGAATATTACTAAGAATTTATAATTCAATTAAAAATATATCGAATACAAAAAAATAAATTCTATACGTAAAAAAAAGCAAACCAGAATAAATTAGATGGCACCTTACCTCAATTCAGGGTGCAAAGCATTTCAATTTTCAGTTTAGGACTTTCGACATTGCACAGATAATAAAAACTCATAGTACCTATCGAATCGATGAAAATTGACTATTTTTACTGCAAGTTGTTGTTGAATTTAGATTTCATTAGGTTGTGATTATTATAAAAAAAACACTCTTTAATTCAATTTGCTCACATTGCGAAGTTGCTGAGAAATTGTGTCGTGTTTTCACCAAGTGTCTTATTTAAAGACAGTAAATATCGATATTTAACATTTTCTCTACATAAGCTCTTTCTATTGTATTCATACAAATGAATGAGTTTGTATTCATTTATATTAATATTAAGTATTCACTGTCATGTGCCTCTGGTGAAATTTTGTTCAGTTTTCTCTACAAATCTTCGATAAAAAAAAACGATGTTGATATTTTCTATTCGTTTTTTTTACACAAGAGCATATGGCCTAGCTAGTTATACCCTATAGATTTCCGTGAATTATCAAAAAATATGTCAGCAAGTACTTATTCATGGATTATCATTAGAACCAGCAATAAATAATCATTGCTAAGACCAGTGTTCAGTCTCGTTTCTTTATGCTGACATAATGAAAAAAAACCATAGATTATTTATTATATCCGGGTTTTTCTTTGGATAGGTAAAATTTCCTGAAAGTCCGATAAAATGTTCTATCATATAGAGATCTCAACGTCTCTAATGACATTTCAATGAGTATCAGACGATATTTTGTTTTCAAGATCAATTTACATAAAATATGAACTTGGATGAGGAATTCTAAAAAGAATAGAAATCTCGATTGATTCCTATAGAGTGCTTCGCACTTTAAGAACAAGTATCATTTTATACTATTAAATAAATACACAGGTTTTATTCCACTAATTGCCACTTATTTTATAGATGATTCATCAACACTAGACAAAGGAAAAAACCAGATACTTACAATGTCGAATCGCTAATTTCTGTTTGATCATTTGTTCTTTTTCCTGTTAAATCTGTTTGTTGATCGAATAATACAGATAGACTTTCAATATCAGTTGTCAAACTTGAGGCCATCTACAATACAAAAAATATCAGCTGATGTTATTCATCATTGGTTTCTTTTTCAATATGATTCACTGCATCTCTTTTTTTCTTTCATTCTTTCGATGAGTAAATAAATATAACTCTAAAAAACAAAAGATTTGATGATATATAACATATATCAGTATTCTCAACGATTTTATTTAATAAAGGCTTATACAAAGAAAAATAGTTGAATTTATCTGGTGAGGGGAAAAAATAGAAAACAACGAGAAGTAGACTCATTGTTATTGATGAATGAGAAGAAGATTATGCTCACGAATATGGTCGTATGCAGAAAGAATAAAACGCTGACTGTTTCGAATAGGAAGAAAGAAAGAAAAAAAAATGCACTAACGACGGACATACAGATGAGTAATTGTATCGTTATGAGAAAGCCATGAAAAAAAAACCACTGTACAATCATTCAGTTCTCATTGCGACGAAAATTAAAAGTGAGAAGTTGATAGCAAACATCATACTTGATATCGATAGCCGATAATATAAGTTCGATATCAACTATTTACATTACAACATATTCGTATTGTAATTATTGCATGCACAGAAAGATAGTTATAATATAACGGTTTGCATTTCAGATCGATTTTGTGTTCCCTAGAAATTTTTGTATTTTACATTATTATAAAGATTAATTTACGTTAGAAAGAGGTGAACAAAAAAAAAACATGAAGATAATAAACTATATATAAGAGAACGAAAAGAATTGATAATGTTTGCTGGAACGATTCGAAACAAACGAACATTCTCTTTTGACAATAGTTTAGATAATATTTCTCTGCTGTGATGGTAATCAATTGTTCGTTACCTTCGATTCATTACCGTCATTGTATGTAGAAAAGTTTTTCATTTCTGAATAGGTTCTCTTATCCCACAAGGTACTTTAAACATGGGTTTAGAACTTTTGGTTAATCCTAAGTATTAAAATCGAAATTATTCCTACAATATTTATCATGACAGTATCTTTATATGTAACTATCATAAGCGTGTCACAGTATTCAATACATTATCAATGAATTTAAACATAGTGAATTAAAAATGATTGGTAGACAGGTGGTTTCATTTGAGATATATATTGAATTTATCTTTTTAACAAGATTATGTATTGATCGATAGATATTCATTCTGAAACAATGAAAACTAGGAATGAATTCATCGTTTATCTTTATTATTGAATCTATAGCTTAGATAATCTAAAAAACTTTTTGACAAATGGCAATACCATAAATTATTCTGAATAAATTACTTCAATAATATAAAGTCACTTGTATGTAGAAAGTATTTACATAACATGTCTGTTGAAATTCCACTAATTTTTTTAGTTATTGGAGAGAATTTCAAACTCTGTCTTGAGTTCGGCTCATAGACAGTAAACCTTTGATGGATGCCAAAAGCGACGTTTGTACAGGATTTTTCAGGTATCTTTTTCTAGTATTTTGATTAAAACTCCCTTGTTCTAAAATATATGAAAGTCTTTTTGTATACTGGTTTGTAGAGCAAGGTTCAATCTACAAATTTCTTATTTGTTTATTTATTTTTTACATATTGCTACAAACGATGAAAAGATTTTGCATTTTCGAAATAAAAAAAAGTGTTTTTTTTTGGAAAAAATAGTAAAGAATAATTATTTAGAAAATATTTATAGCTTTAGATTCTTTGCTTTACTCTAGTGTAAACCAAAATTTTTTAGAAAACTGAATCCTCTACAACTATAGAAGCTCAAATCAATCAAAACATACCATTCCAAGAAGTTTTGAATAAGAGACCAAGAGTAATTTGCTTAGTGTAAATAATGTTTTTACTTTATTCAAATATTTGTTTACAGGTGATTAGTTGTATATCAGAGAACAAGTTGGAATATACATTTGAAAAGCATATACCATTTTGATTCTCACTGCCAATTCTCGATTTTCTTCAATGACATCTACAGGTCAAAAAACTCAGCAAACATACTTGCCGAGATCTATTAATTTAATGTTTTTTTACAAATGGTCTTTTTAGCTTCCATCAAAGATTTATTCGCCAAGACCGAAATTGAAATCTAAACCGGGTAAAAAATGCTGACTATATACTAAGGAAGAGCGTAAAATTCTTATTTTAGTGGATCATTTTTGATTCTCTCCTGTCTGAATACTTCTACGTTTAAAGTACTCTGATATAAAAACATTGATATCAACACTTCATGCATCTTATTCATTTTGTCAACGAGTTAACTCTACTGATGTAGTTTTGTCTAACCAAAACTTTTATCTTAATTGAAAAGTTTTTCGTGTATTAAGCAAGCGAGTTGAGGGTTCTTTTTTTACTTTTTTATGTTAAATATAGTTCCGCAGCAATTTAGCACTCATGGATCAAACCGAAGTTTTGCATAGAAACTATGAAGATAGTTGATCGAGTGAAGATGCATATCTTTGTAGTAGAAACTCTTATTAGCAAGCGCAACGTAGAGACCTTAAATCATACGCATACTTTTTTTCATTAAAGTACTTATAAAGATGCCATTGAAAAAAAGCAATCAAATCGATATCTGACATTTTTTCCAGTGATATTACTACATAAAGTTGAAATTCTATGACACAGAAATAGGTCGAAGAATACCATGTTTGATATTAAAAGAAACTCCATTAGTTACAGTTTTCATTCTTGCATCGTGAAGCAGTCCCGAAGAAAAGAAAAACATAAGAAACTTTCTCAGTAGATTCCCATATATGATATTGATATTCACTCAAAGTCTTCTGCTGGTATACTCTAATCTGTTGTGTTGGATGTACAAAGGAATGCTCTATTAGGTAGTGTTACATTCAATATGGACCAGTGATTGAAAATGATTGCTCAAATAGATTTGCTGAGATTAGAATCAGTTGTATTACTGACATAGCTTGTGTCTTTTGGATTATATTATTTTGAACTATATCAAATGAGTCTAGAAAGATCTAAGCTCTTCTACAATATTTTTTTATTTTTTTTTTCATATTTATTTGCTTTTCGATTTAAATCTTTATGAATCAGAACACAAAATAAGAAACGTTAAACCAGGGACAGATTTTGAGGAGAAGAAATGATTGTGTCCTCATTCTGGAAATTTCATTGCTTTATCTCAGGAGAAAAAGTGCAAAAGGAGCAGAGACTACCTTTTATGAAATTTCAAATACATTCTTTGACTACGATTGGTTCTCTTTCCATTGAAGCATCAGCATTTACTGGAACTCTAGCTCTACCTTTGTGTTGAGACAACTAGAAATATACTTCAGTACACAAGTTTATTACTGAACAACTGAAATCCATGTTTGATTTACATAACAACAGGTCATTCACTGTGGTTTAGCAGCAGATTCTCTTCCTCCTCTCCCGCGGTTTCAAATCTTTGATAGTGTAGTATCTACCTTTGTTTCGCTAAAGTTATAATTTTATTATTGACTATCCTTCTATTTTGAATTCTATAAGACAAGTACGTTTGCTTATCTTTATAGTATATTTGCATTGAATCATTTATTGCTTAATTACAAAAACGTTTCGAGTAATATATAAATACAAGGCAAATTTTAGATGATTTATTTTCACACAATGGACTTCATTCAACATCCATCATACTTTGAACAAATGCATGATATTGCGTTGATCTTATGGAAATTAACAATGGAAAATATGAATAAACTTTTGAAACGACTTGGACTACAATGCATTTCTTTTGAACGTTTACAAACATCTGGACGTATTAATTTGATTTTTAATTTAAAAGCTCACACGAAAACTTCTTCATATATTGAATTCATACTAAAAGTATCAAATCCTCATTGTTATTGGAAAGAACATCGTATTAAAAATGAAGTTAATACAATGCAATATTTACTTGAACCTACGACAATTCCTTTACCGAAAATATTCGATTATTCTGTTGATTTTAAAACAAGTATTTTATCATGTGAATATATATTAATGGAAAAAATTCATGGAAATACTTTAGAATCTATTATTGAAAAAGTGTCTGATCAAATTTTGGTTAAAACAGCTATTGAAATGACTGATTATGTTAAACAGTTGTGTCAAAAAAACTACCACAAACGAATAAAATTGGTTCCTTTTGTAGTAGAGAAATGTTTCTTGGTGGATCTATTGAAGATGGTCCTACACTAGGACCATTTCTTACTTTAAAAGAGTATATAATTGAACATTTACGATGGGTAATACGACGAATTCAAACAGATGAACAATTATTTGAAATTGGAGAACACTTAATACTATCATTATGAAAAATAATTGATGGTGCTCAAACAGATTCGAACTTGTCAAATTCAGACATCAAATTTCATGTTACACATACAGACTTAAATTCATCAAATATTCTGGTTGATGAAAATACTGGAAAAATCTTAGCAATAGTCGATTGGAAAAGATGTGCGATGACATTTAATAATGATGATATTGAATTTGTTTCGCATTGGTTTGAAGATAATCAACGAGAAAAGCGATTTCAATCACTCATTCAAAAAGAACAAAATTATCTTGACTTACTCAACTATGCATGTAATTTGCATAAAATTAAGTCATATTTAGATGTAATGTATTCAGTCATGTATGCCACATTCTATAGTTGCACTTCGTTTGAATACGAACAAACCGTCATTGAACATATTAAACAATTTTTACAAGAAGTAGAAGATGCTATTATGGCGTTTAATAAGAATATCTTAGATGAAAATAAATAAACATAAACAAGTCTCTTTCCTTTTCCGATGAGATATTAAATGCAACATGACAGGAGCAAAATGATTCAATAAACAATTTTGAACTTTTAGGCAAATAGACTGTAATGATCAGAGTACAAGTTATTATAGAATCAAAGTTTTCAAGTATTTTCTTTCAAAAAAATACTATAGCAGACAGCGATTAAAACGATCTTATATGTTCTTTATATAGTGAATATTCATATCTCATTTACTAAAAGATATGTATCTTAACATAATTGAAGAATCTATAGAAACTTCTAGTTCAATCCATTGTATCACAGAGGAGAAAAAAGCAACAAAAATTGACTTCTAGCTCTCAAACTATGATAACTTTAAGGATGAAAAACAACTGAAATCAAATTGTAACTTCCATTTTGATTTCTGGTCAGTTAGATTCAGCTAGTATTATTCTAACATGTAATGATCATTATAGATATGGAATATTTACATTCCTTGTCGTACTACTTAGTTGTTGCATATCCACTGATATCTTATACTCTGTTATTATTTGTACTAAATCTATATTTGAAAAACCTCCATATATTTTAGTCTAACATCATAAACCTGTTACAACAAAGGCTAGTATTTCTTCTGTTTATGTTTTTCCTGCAAATCACAGGCGTGTTTGTTTTTATTCCTTTATATAGATTAATAAAAATCTCTTTTGATGCATAGATCAGTAAACATTATTACAATGATCTATTATGAATGCCATAGACTGCTACAAATTTGGACATGAAACAAGCAATAAAAGATGCAGAAAAAGTTTTATTTCATGTAGATATATATTATATAAATTTTAAAGAATTTTTTCAATTTAAAATTCGTACAAAATATGCTATCTTTTCCGTTTTTATTTCTATTTCGCTTTATATTATTATGCCTTATTACTAAAAATGCATGAGTATGCTGTCAAAAAATACAGTGTCTGTATGAAAAGGAAAGAAAAATATGATAGTATTATGATAAATGCTTGGTTTTGATCATATATCTGCTGTTTTTTTCAAATCGAATCGGTACTATTTTTACTGATCAATTCATATAGATTTTCAATATAAGTTGAGAGTTATTTGATAATCATGTTATTATTGTTTGAACAGTTTTAGATCCCTTTCATCTCTGTTTAATAGAAGGTGACCTAATCAGTTCACTTCTTTATATAGTTTTCTCATTAGAATTAGTGATATTTTTCTTATAACTTGAACATATATTTAGATCCTTTTTATCACCTAATTTATGCATTGAAAGCATATTTTTCTGTGTCCATGATGCTGACACTATTCTGTATAATAATCTTTTCGTTTTCATGCGTGTTAATTTATAAAGAGTAAATTGGTGTTTACATAATCAAATATATTGTGTGATTTTATATATGAGATCTCTACAGTGCACAGTAATAGATATTTCGATAAATTGCTTCTCATAATGAGAGGTTTCAAACAAAGATATAAATTTGAGTACTAAGATTGTTCATTTTGTTCATAGGTTTTATGTTGAATAATATCTATCAGTTGAAATAATTGAAATACAAGTGATAGAAAAAAAGATACAGATTATCTAATCGTGATTATTTTTTGAAGCATGTGAAATTTGTTAAAACAATGATGTAGAGTAAAGTTCAGAATTATTTCGTTGAAACAGATTATTTACTTATTTATGAAAATAAGTAACTTTTCATAGTAGTTATGTTCTTCGACGATATCTTTCAAGATCCTCGCTCTTCTTTTCTTGGTTACATGATTACCCAATAGTTGCGTGTCAATTTCGATACCACTCTTGAGAATTAGAGCAAAACTTAACTTTTACATTCTAATATTAAATATGTCGTATGTTTTGTATATTGTGACACACTACGAGACTTTCAACTCTAATACAACGTATCGATTACAATATATTTTGTCAAGCGAAACTGCGATACATTCTAAATATGATGTTCGAATCTAGTCTTCGTCATGCCTGTCATTTCTTCTGTGGGTATGAATATTTAATAGTTTTTCAGTATAATTCGAATTAGTGATACTTATTCCTTAATTTCAAGACAGTAGAACCTTATAAAATCAATCTGTGTCGAGTCAGTTTGATCTTGAGATTAGATCGCTTCAAGGAGGTGCACTTTTGGACCATCGATCGATTTCTTAACGTATTCTCAAAAGATGACTCGTTGAGATATGATTTAGAGAAATTAGCTATATCTGAAAACAGGTCCGTAAATCACCTCTGAAGGCAGGGGAAGGAGGCATAGTGTCTTTTGAATTGCTATTGTGAGGGATGTAAAAAAATTTTTGACTGAGATAGTGTGTTTAAAAAAAAAAAGGTTTCTAGTTGTTTGCTACGGTTTTTTGCGTTTACAATATAGTTCAGAAATCCATGTAAAAAATTTGGTTGAGAGTCAGATTAAAAATCGATTATAATGGCACGATTATAATCTGATTTTTCAACTTTAAATGACAAATATTATTTGATTTTGACTTTTTTTATCTATTTTAATCGATTACCTACAACGACTATGAAAATAACTTTAAAAAAATCAAAATCAAATAAAATTTGTCATTTAAAGCTGAAAAATCTGATTAAAATCAGATTATAATAGTGCAATTATAATTGATTTTTAACCTAATTCTTAACCCAATTTTTTTACATGGGAAACACTACAGCAGAAAAGAGGCATGAATTAAAAAGCAGAAAGACATACACAAAGATATAATGATAGAAAAATGGATGAGTACAAAAGGGATACACGGTTTTTCCGAAATAATCCAGATTGAGAGACCCATCTACATCATTTTCAGCACTGTAATCTTCTTTTGCTCAGTGTGTTACAAAAAAAAAACTTTCGACGTGGAAACATCTTATAATATGAAAAGATTGTTTTTTTTTACTTTCCTTCATTTTGAGGAAGAAAACTGTTATCGTATGGAGTCAAAAAAGTTTCTAGATATGTCTAACGCCAAAGTCGTTTACGTCAGCGACTATTGATTGAAATGATAGTCTGTAGAACGCAGCATTAATAGAAACTTCCTAGAAATAGGTTTTAAGCCTTCAAAATATGGTTAGGCTTACGCAATTGATACCATGTACGCAAGCAAAATTGCTTTGTCGGTAGATCTAAACTCTATTTCAGTGCTGTTGCGTTCCAAAAACTAAATGGTCGTTGAATCAAACCGTTGGTATTTGTTTAAAAGTTTTTGCCGCCGAAGTCGGCCGCGCTTGTAACCATTTAAAAATAAAACTCTTTAGGAGTAAAAATTACCATAAAAACATGTTTAAATGATGTATCAGACTTCTTAGGTCAATTGTAGTTGTAAAGTTCTCACTTTTCCGCGAAGCGAATTTTTTTTTTCACTTTATATATTGTTCGATAAAACCTTATTTCATTCAGTACTTCTTGCCAAAGAGTTAGTAAACTTCTACTTTATGCCTGTTTTCGCCCTTTTTACTAGTGAAAATAACGAAAACTTCCAAGTATTGGGGGAGGAAGGGCGCATTACATAAGCGGTTTTTCAAACCAGGGGGGCGTTGTGCCTTAGAGAATTTCAAAAACAGGGGTGTAACGCTCCACGCGCTCCCTTTATCTACGCCCCTGTCTGAAAATATACAAGTTCACTAGGTTCCACTGAATCGGTTGTATATAGCTGAATGTACATTGTAGAACGGCGAATGAATATGTATCAGATAGACTATGACACATCTATAATTTGAGACATTTTCGTAGTAAAACTTGCAATATTATTATTAGCAGCACATTTGATTTAGTTGTACCGTCTTTTTCTCTCCTATTATTTATTGCAAAAATTTCGTTTCCTTTTCACGGAAAGATACAAATAAATTCATTCGACACCTCCTAGCTAGCTAAAAAACATAACAGGCCAACAAGCAGCAATTGACACATTACACGTATTTGCTATTAGTATTATTATGATGATTTATAGACTTTATGATATAGAATATATATTATTTGATCTGACAAGTGCAATACAAGTAGAGAAACACAAAAAAAATAGAAGATTTTTATCGCCGACGAGAGCGGAGAGAGATGAGAATCAAACTCACGTGTATAATAAGAAGAGAGTAGGAATGATGAAGTTGGCGGGCGACTCCAAATAAAGAAACGAACAGAAAAAGGAATACGATGGGCATGCGTAGAAAGACATAGACAAGCAAGAAACATAACACTCTCAACGTCATAACCAAAGAGTTACCACGCATACACATACACAAACGCACACGTACACGAACATCTCTCTATGTCTATCAACCATCCTGATTTGGATAGGAACTTACAAGGTAATTAATCTGGTCATATTGTTTCATAGTTATAAGATGACAGATCAAGTGTAGAGAAATAGTTTTTTAAATTTTTGATACGTTACTGACATAAAACGTAACACAGGCAAGCAGATAAACAATTTGATAGAATATTTCAAATAGAAGGTTTCAACTTATATCTAAGTGTCATACGATTGATTGTTGTAAATATGATACGTATTTTATTTTAAGAAAAATTTCAAAAACAGTAGTTTGCA